TTCCCCTCCCCTCGCAATTCCTCCCCCTCTCCCCGTTCCCCTTTCAACCCGTCCCGTCCGAAAAAAGGAGCGGAGCAAGGCGACTAAGATGGCCCTCCCGATGCCAAGCTGGCACGCCTCTCCTCTGCTCCCTCCACCTCCAGTCCAAAACGCCTTATGTCCTCCCTCCTCTCCCTCCACCCCACCTCGTCCGCGCTGCGCCCTGCCCTCCACCCCACCTCGTCCGCGCTGCGCCCTGTCTTCAAAGCACCCGTGTACGTCGCTCGTGCACGTCTCCTGCCCTGTTATGCTGACGTGGCATTCACGCCTTGCCTCTCGCACCCCCGCCGTTACTCTCACTCTCTGCACGCCTCGCGTCTCTGTCCTCAGAGCACAATCGATGGTGGTGGCGCCCGAGGGCAGCTGTTTTGTATTGTTGCGCCTGCTCTGCGTCTCTGCCCGCCCTCCTCTCTTCCCGTGCTCTCTCCGTCCCTTTTGTTTGTCTGTGCGTCTCCGTCTGTGACGTGCTCTAATTATTCGTGAAAAGTTCGTCGTATCAGCTTAAATGTTGCTGGTTGATCATTTGTACGGCTGCTGGAGCTGGCGGACGGCTGTTTGTGCGCTTATTTCTGCTTCTATACGGTGACGTGGAAGTTGGTTGGGCAAGAGGGGTGGGGGACTTATGCCACATGTGCGGCTATTGCAGGGGTTTTTGTTGTTTGCGTTCCGGGCAGTCATAATTATTATCTATTAATCATTGTTGTGTGTGTCATTTTGATGCTTTATCGACTGTTATTTCACTGGCGCTTTTCTCGCACTTGGCAAATTCTCCATTTTCTGTTTTAAAGCTTATTCGTGATGATTTTTCCCCGTTCTCTTTTAGTAGTTCATTCGGTAATCCTCTTTTTGTCCATCTGTTGTCTCTCATTCTTGGCACTTTGTCAGCATATTTGCACTGGTGCCTGATCGAGAACACAAAGCTTCGGCGTTGTTGTACCACAATTTGCTGACACATGTCATGCGTTTTTTGTTTTTCGTCAGATAGCATTGTATTCCACCGCCAGCTTCTCCCTAACAGGCGTGGTATTCCATGTCTCACTTCCACGTAACAGAACTGATAAAATGGTGCCCGCTTAGTCGACGCATTGGTTTCTGTTTAATCCCTTTCTTCCTGCCGTCAGTGGAGTCCCTTTTCGAAAAGGGTCATGGACCGAGAAGGAATCGAACCAGCCCACTTCACATTCGGACACGGCTTACCGGACCACTACACTACCCGCCTTTGTGTTTCGTGTACTTTGCTGGACCACCTGTATTCTGTGCATAGGCCTGCTGGACCACCTGTATTCCTACTTTGCTGGACCACCTGTATTCCTCCGCCTTATTCTCCTTCCTACCTCAAATTTACCTATATTCTGTACGCCCACATACTCTTTATTCTCTTACTGCTGCATCTTGTGCAGCACACCCTTTCAACAGTTACCGGCTTTTCGCGGGTTTTCCGTGACAGTATTGAAGCCAGCATCCTCATATCTCATCCGCTTGGGAAGTAAAAGGAGTGGGTAATAATTCGTCTGGCAGCGACTACCAACAATAATCAGCTAACTAGCAAAGCTGTTGATGACTTTCTCGAAAAATGTCATTGGGGACCTTCCGATGTACACCAGCACACAATAAATAGCAAAACGCACCAGACTAGTCGGTGCGATCATGCGTTTTGTGCAATTCAGCCCATCAAACGATTGCCTATTAATGATTTTCACTGCTTTGTACTTTAGTCTATGCAAAAATACTTTGGACATTGGAAAACAGTTAAAAATTTCACGCACCAGCGAATGAAAGCGGAATTCGAGACCTTGAAGGGTGAATATCTTTCCGTGATTCCCGAGTTAATAGTTTACCCGTCAAAATTTTTACAAGGCCGTAGGTGGTAACCGAGAGCGCGAGGACGCTGAATTTGAATGGGCGAAGTTGAGCGGGGGCGGGGGGTTATTACCCTAAAATTTCAGCCTTCTAGACTCCGTGGTTCCCGAGATATTAATTTGCCCGTAAAAAACTTTCACGGGATCACACGTGGGTGGGGGGGACGTCCCCCTAAATTTTTAGCTTCATAGCTTTTGTGGATCCCGAGTTGAAAGTTGCGGACAAGTTGCTGCGGACACACACACAAACACACACACACGCACCAGACAACCCCGTGACAATATGCGTTTTGTACTGCTGTTACACAGCACAAAACGCATAAAAATGAATGTTAGGGATATTGCTTTTCTTGCCAACGCAGTTGTACTTTGATAGCAGGCTGTAGTGAAGTCGCTTGTGTGTTTTTTAATATTTTTCTCATAACAAATATGCAGGAGTCTCCACTTATAAAATGAGTTGCTGCTGCGCGATTTTCCTGTGACTGTGAGATGGCACTGCTCACGCTGTTATCACGCCACTTCTCTTAGTTAGCACCTGCACATTGGGCTTTAGCTCGAGCCTTCCAGCATATGCGAGCTTGCCGAGACAGTTCGTCACACCACATGCGTTGGCCAATTATTACATCTGCCACTCCTTCCAGTATGAAACCTTTAGCACAATTGCTCCATTGAATCTTACAATTTTCTGTACTCATTTTGAAAATTGTTGTAATCCCATACATAATAAAACTGGACATAGTATTTTCTTCATCCCATTCTCTGTTTATTCTCGTTTTTCCACAGTGTCTGCAGCCCACAGTACATAGGTGCTTGACAGCTGTGTTCGTGATCCGCGGAGAATAGAGAATTCTCGATTCCTTTTGTATTGGACAATCTCTGCTTATTTGGTTCAGGATCTCTTCCTTCTAATATGTCCAGGCGGCTCTCCGTTTATTCTTTTATGCTGCTCATTTTGCGGTGTTTGTGAAGATGGGCACGTTTATTTCCATCTTTCGCTGCCGTGTTGACTTCAGTTTTCTAGCTTTCTGGTTGCTTTCAGCCTCCGGCTTTTTTCAGTCCATTTTTATTTATACTTTTGCGATTTTTAGGAATTTGTTAATAGAACTTGGTGGAGCATACGTGTATTGCAAAATGGCCGACGATCCGTGTGAATGCTTATTCAATCATGAGAGCGCAATGCGCCGCTTACTTTCGCTGGTAAGTCTTCACCTCTCGGGGCTCATAAATTATTTCTTGAGTGTTGTTGTTGTGAGTTCTCTTCATTCGTTGACAACCGATGGGCGTCTCATGTCGTTCAATAGTGTCAGCGAAGGAAGGGACGACGAATCCGATGGTCTCTGAGGCAGTCGTGTTCTGCTTAACTGGAAATACTGATTAAGAAGTGGAGGCAAGCAGTTCAGGGCAATGGGGAACATTTGCTGGCATTTCTAATTTCTGTCGCAGTAGCGCTGTGAGTTTTGCACTGGCAGCACCACAGCCAGTCCGCATGGATGACTTGTTTTTCAAGTCACATTTATGTACACAGCTGCTCTGGATAGCAAAGGCAGTGAGTTGGGTTTTTCAAGCTGAAAACCGAAATTCAAAATCCTCGCCGTTCTGATTTTCGAGAAAGGCAGAAGCGCTTGGAAATAGCTCACAGAAAATACAAAAAGCAGCCAGCCACTCCAAAGCTGTCGATGGCTGCCTTTTTTGAGGATTGCTGGGAAGTAAGCTGATGGCAGTTTTGACTTTCTAACATGCACTAATACCAGTCTACTGTAGAGGTAAATGAGCGAATTTGAAAGGACTTGGTTATACTACTGACAGAGTCGAATCGTTGACTTTTGTTTCAGCATGAGAGCAGCAATAAATTTGCACCAATTACCACAGTCGTCGTACTGAGAAGGTCCAAATGTGGTAATGGTAAAAAATGTGCACGACTTAATGGACCAAAACATTTCTTGCCATTATAATAATTTTTTTGAGATATTTTACAACTTTTCCTAATTTCTTAATATTATTTGCTTCTGTCTTCTAAATTTAAAATATTTTTCTACTGCCATTGTGTCATGCCCGCCAGCCAAAAAATTTGTGTTCACAGAATCATTTCTGAAATGTGTATTTTATTGCTGTCAGTGTGATATTATATTGTACGAATTATAGTTGCGTGACTCGCAAGGCTATTGCACGGATTCGGAATGCGTCCAGGATTTGCCGGGTCCCCAGGGAGCAGGCTTCGGCGCCAATAATCTGATGATAATTGGCATTCTGTGGGCTTTTCTTGCTCTCGCAATGTTCTTTTTGCGACCAAATTCGATGCGATCAACGCCGGAGGCAATGGGTAAACCAGGACCAAGCTCTGTTAGTATTTTGGTTGTCTGTGAATGCTTCACCACTAACTATAACCGATATGTTCTGCTTAGGTAGCAAATCATTGTGGTAGAAACGTGTGTAAAAAAAGCCAATTTTTATTCGAAATTCTTCATTTTTTCGAGAGAATTTACTCGCACCATCGTCATAGTTGTGCACGAGTATCAGCCGTGAGAGTTAAGCGTAATAAATATTAAAGTTTGTTACTGAAATTTTTCGCTTTCTTCTGTCCGTCTCACTCCATTTTCTCGAATTTGTTGAATGCGTTATACCACTCTCATTTGTAGTTGCTTTTTGAGGAAGCGTTGTTGGCGTTCCTGTAGGAGCATGCGCTTTCTCTCCCTTCGTTAATACTCCCCTTTTCTTAACGGCATTATTTATTGCATGCTTATAAGCCTTCTCACTGAGGACAGTTGCTCTCACTTCCCCTTCTACCGTTGTATCCTCCTCTCGTTGAACTTAGGCGGGTCGTTTGGATTAAACTGCTTTTATTTAAAACTACTAAATTTGGGCTGCCATGTTTATGTCTCATGTCGATAGGCCCTATGTCGTAGTCTTTCTTCCACGCCGCGACGAATTCCCTTGTTCCGGATATATGGCGACCACTCACATACATTAATTGAACATCTGCCGAGAGAAACTGGACAGTGAGATGTTTTTTAATGGCAGCCTTTTAATGAATATGCCTCAGGCTAGCCTCCCTCCTCGTCTCTCTTCCGCCGCCGTGCGCCTTCGAAAACCGGACAAGTGGGATGCGCTGCATTGTCCGTCTGCCCACCTTCAAGCTTGGTTCACGCGGTGGGACATTTTTCTGCTCTGTCCGTTGACTGAGAAAGCTTTGTAGATGTCCGCTATTTAGGGAAGTGTGGTGAAGTGCAGCTTCCTCCTAGCACTTTTGTTCTTTGTGATTGAATGGTCGTCGTACGGTGGCAGCGGTGACGAATTTGGTAGTATGGGGGTGCGGTATGACACAGATTCTGGCAATTTCGGGTGTGCTTGAAAGAATGCACTCACTGCTTTCTTCCACATTTCAATGAGTCATGTGCCTGAGTTATGTGCCAGTAACTTTTTTGTGTTTTCAGCAAGGTGGTGGCGGTGATCCTCCAGCGCCCGGTGTACACTAGTGCCAAGCCAGTAGAATACTGCGATGTGATGTGCTCGTGACGCTCACAACTGTGATTTTATTTGCATCAAAATTTTTTCATATCAGTGATCATTCTTATCAATAGGAGAATATATCAGCAAACCCTTCCTTCCCTGTGCATATCACTCTGGCAAACGATTCTCCCCCGATCACTCTCCCTGTCTTTTATAAAAACGCCTCAGCTACTCTCTTGAGCATGAATTAATTCCCGGTCAGCTTTCCCCTCTTTTCTATTCACCATGCTCCCCCCTTCCACTTCCCTGCATTCCCATTAATCCTTCCTGCCCTCGCACTGATATGGACCCACTTAATATACCACCAAATGTGTTATATCCCTAATTTTCTGTAGTCGGTGAATTTTCGAAGTTTTCTTCGATTCGTTTTTTTTTTATCTGGATTCATGCAAAGTTCCACTGAACGACGCTCGATCTCGGATTCACTGAACTCCCCACTTGCATGACCGAAAAGCGTGTATGGTTAGTTGATGATACTGAAATCAGGACCGGTAACCAATAGTTGTTGAAACATGAACCGTGAAAACCCAGGAATTCTTCCTCCTTCGTGTGCCTCTTGGCCAGTCTTTTCCCGTTCTTTTTTTACTTTTTTATATTAAAACCATCACTGTTCTTCCGCGGCACAGGGCTTTTTCGAGCAGAGTCTTGTGTGCTTGTGGCGCCAATGTATTTAATGTATATTTATGTACCATTTAAAGCATTGTTTCCCGGGATTACGCTGGCCAATGCCATTATTATTAAATGCTCTCCACCCGTAACATAGCGGCTACATTGCACGTGGCTCGAAGTATGCATATTGAACGTTTAACAGATCATCCTGTGCAGCAGACCTGTGTGGTGTTAGCAGGCCTCAATTTCGCTCAGTAAGAATTAAGATTGGTCGCTGCACTTTTCTAGCGTTCATGGCTCAAGAAATTTAACTGCCGTCATATGCTGATAGAGGCTGATGTGAATGAACTGAGGAATACACATATTATCAACAAAGAGAAGACAGTAAAAAAAGCCATACCCGTTCGAAGCATGAAATTGGACAAATGATGGGATTTTCAATCGTCTCACATACAAGCACATGAAAACATTTTGAAAAACGATGCATGGAACACACAGTAATAAAATAAACGACGCACAACAAAAGGGCAGAGGAGGCGTGAATCAGTCCTAGCGTCAACCACATACTTGACAATAGCATAAAACACATAAAAATCATAAAGTGAAAGGAAATATTGCAAACGCAACTGGCCTATTGGGCAGGTGTACAAGCCTACTGGAAAAGGTTAAATCCTCGCTGAAGCTAGATTCAAGGATTTCTTGGTGGATACATCTAACTGCAGCCTGCGTTATGCAACAAGTTCTTTGTTTCTGTTACTGCTCTTAGCTTCACTGCCTTGCTTCACCGCCTTAGTCAGTCCGAGAATTCTGCAGGATATACTCGACTGCTACAATTTCTCGCGGAATTGTTGCGGACAACAAAGCAGGCCGGCTGCCGCTGCCAACTCATTTTTGCCTAATATATATAAGAAAACTGATTAGCAGTTAGTACAGTCAGAGCGAACCACGATCCCAATCAAAATTGGAACGAGTGGGAGAAAATATACAAAATATCGTTAAATTAACATTACAGGAAGGTCTAGTCGAAGGATTCAATGATTCACATGTAATGGCATAAAAAGACTCTCTGCGAACGTACTTAACAATGCTTCAGCATTGCAATATGTGCTGTCATAATGAAAGCGCTTTTCTGAGAAGCTTCTCCACAACAAAGCCTTCGTTTTCATCGTCATCTGAAATGCACGAATATAAATGAATGCTGCACAAGCACATACCCGTCGAATTTTAGCGCTTTTTGCGGCCAGTATCGTAAAAAAGCATTTTAAAATATCAATTCGCACAATGAATTTTTGTACAAAGAAGGGTATTACAATGAAATTATTTCTTTATAGATAATCCAGTTTGCAAATTCCGCAGTGACAAGCACCCATTTGTAGTCGGTGCAGTGATGCGTTTTTGCAACGTAGAGTTTGGCATATCCATATGTGTAATACAAGCATTTACGAAATTTAGTATTATGCTTTTAATAACAGTGCTGCACGGGGTATGCCAATACTGTCGAAAAATTATAATTTTTTTGCCACCTGACTGCGGACAGAGAACGGTGTCAAAGCTCATTTTACAGTAGAAATTAGCACAAGATTACGGCTTCCTGCTTAATTTAGTTGCAGAAAATGTCCAAAACTGCAATTTTACTTGCATTTAACATGAGGCCTAAGCGTGAATAAAGCTAATTTAAAATTTTTAGGTAGTACACGTATTGATAGGAATATCCACTTATAATTTCAATTTATTAGCTTTTTTAACTCCCGAATTGTCGATTTATCACATAAATAGTTAATTACTTTTTTTCTAACGTTTCAGGATTTGAAAGTTTCATAATGATTATTACCTTTTCGCCTTATTTCACAAGCTACAAAACTCGGATTAACTTTTGGTCAGCTCGGCTTTCCAAAATCTGTCCTCCATTTTCTTTTTTTCCTTTACTTCTCTATTTTCTTCTTTACTTCTGCATTTTTCATTATTCTATATCTCGTATTATAATTATAGTTCATAATAAATATACTGTAGGATAGTTGCTCTACATACCTTGTCACGGATATAGGTCTATTACGCGAGAGATTTCCCCACCAAAAATTTCACTTGTCCGGACATGAGGCCGTCACACATGTGGATGATGATTTTAAAATGGGAGAGACGTATGTGAGGTGCGATCATGACCATAAAATTTAGCTTATCTGGTTGCTATGTCGAAAGCAGGTGAAAAAAATGCACCTCGGACACATACATACACAAAAAAATAATCACATACACATACACACATACACACACACACACACACACAAACACATATAAGTACACACAGACAGCCTCTTAATAATATGCAAGAACTTATAACGCCAGAATTCAGAAATCTGTAGTCTTGGTTTATGACGATGTAATGAGGCAACAAATCCCAAATCAAATTCGAAAATTAGTGGCCGAAAACAGTGCTAAATTCGGAGCTACAAAATTTAAATTTTATAATTTCAGAAATTTAATCTGTTGCGCAGTGGAGAGTGAACAATACGAAATTCGTTTTCATATTGAAATGACGGTGACTCATAACCCTCGAACAAAATGATGAAGTTAATAAGCCAGAAGGAAGCAGATCATGTAATTTAGGTCCTAACAATCCTACCGCCATACAAATTAGTAGTGCTACATACACACATATTGTCTAGAACGGTTCACTTATCACAGAAAGGTATGGCAGATACAATCACTTCAATCTCATATGTGAACCTTTCTAATCTATTTAATGACACTTTGAAAAAAGCCTCACTTCCAGAAAAGCTAAGCTTTCCCACACGGAAACAATGAATACAAAACGATGTAAAACAAACCAGCACAACTACCCGTCACTTCTTTCTCAAGTTCGAGCTTCTTTTGCACTAACGCAAGCATTTCCTCTTCAATCGTCTCAGCGGATATTAACCGGACAACATACACATCCCTGTAACATATCGCTTCCAAGCAATCACGAGATAGTCATCCTTTGTATGGAGAGAGCTCACGGGCACATTTTAGATAAGTGAAAATAGCTTTCGACTACTTCTATCTTAATGAAACGGGGCTTGAAAGCGCACAGGGAACGAGGACAGGTGGCTAAAATTTGAAAGAATGAGACTGATTCTCCGAAGTCTTCGCGCGAAACTGAATCATTCTGGCGAAACAGATTAATAAGAATTCTAAAACAAACTTCTTTTGACCCATGCGATGGCAACGACCCTCGGCTTGCTTGTCATTGTATGGATTGAAGTCGATGTCGTGAAGGATGATGTGATTGGCGGCTGTCAAATTGATGCCCAAGCCGCCAGCTCTTGTAGAAAGCAGGAAGACGAACAGATCACACGATGAATTGTATTTGTTAATTATCTCTTGCCTAGAAATATTTTACTTAAAAAGAACTAAAAGAGAAACGTAAATCTGGGCAGTTACAAAAACTCGGCTCGGCTCTTCTCATATATGAGATGCAAAAAGTTTTTTCTCCCGACGGCAGGTAGGGCTGATCCACGGCGGATGGCGGCAGTTTGAATGTGGCAGGTGAAGTTGGAGGTGGTATGTGAAGGGTTTCGTCCGAGGCAGGGGAGAGAGGGGG